AGTTAAATTAATTTAAAAATTTTATTAATTATATTAAACTAAATTTTTTTAAATATTTTATCATGAAATCGGTTCAAACCATTACCCTTAGAGAGGAGGATATAAACCTTACGACAGTTGCCGAAGCCACTTGTCCCAATGGCCAGATTCAATCATATTAAACCAAATTAATTTAAAAAATAATAAAACTCGAATCAAAACACGCTACAAACATCTATATATACCGCATAAGTGAACAGAGAGAACAGTACTGACGGTTACGGCCTTACTCAGGTACTTTTATGTTTTTTTTTAATTTTTTATTTTCTGTAAATATTTAAGGGCAAAATGGCTTCTTAAGCTCCCAAACTTACCTTAAAAATAGCATTTAGACCCTAAACTAAAACTAAAGCAGATATATCCTTCAATTCCACTAAGATGCAAATAAACTCTTCTCATAAATAGGTCAAATGGTATTTTATATTTAATATCACCTTGAAAGTATGAACACTCATGAACACTCATGAATAAGAAAGACTTTATTTGTATCATTAATGGAATTGGAGGGTTTATCCGTTTTATTTTTAGTTTAGGGGTTTAAATGTTATTTTGAGGTAAGTTTGAGGGTTTAATAAGGCTTTTTACCAATATTTAAAGTCAAATCACGAGAGTACCGTGTAACTGCCGTGAGACTGTAGTCGGTTCGGTTTGTCTTCTCAGATTTCAATGTTTTGCTCAGAGAAAATTTCTTTTCTCAACTGATTTTTCCGTAAAAATGCTACCTTCATCCTTCAAAACTGAAAAAAAAAAGAAAAAAAAGTTTACAACAAAGTAGAACCTTGTAGAATTTTTACTTGTTAAAAGTTGTTTTCAATATAAAAACGATTTTTTTTCTGCTGTTTTTTTTTTCTCTTTTATCCTATAGTTTTTTGGGTTTTTCTAGTGTCTGCAGATGTGTGGAAGGTTTTTTCAGTGTTCGTAGAATATTTTTGAGAAAAATCTGTGTTGTTTGGAATGACCAAAATTGAGAATTTTTTTGGATTTTGATGCTAGTGGTTTTCTGAAAATAAAAACTGAGGGCCGGGTGCCATCTCTCCTGCGACACAGTGATGAGTAGTTTATTCAAGGGTTCGCCATATAGACGGCGGCATGACTTGGAGGCGGGGAGCAGTCGTTCGCCGTCTTCCGATAACCAGGACGATGGGATGTCATCGAGTCCATTCTACATCACCAGGACTAAGAATGCCTCCATTGAACGCCTCCGCCGCTGGAGAGTAATATTGCCCTAATCTCATCTCTTATGCTCTGCTCGAAATAGTCTGATTATGCCTTTGATTTTTTATGCTCGAAGTCCTTCATTCCTTAAAGGACGACGGTGTGATTTATTTGTCGTTTGGCATTTACGTTTTGCGAATGTGTTTTGATGTTTGTAGATTTTTCTCTATATTTCATTCTGCAAATTTATTGCAGGTGTTTGTTTTGGTAGTGGACATTGAATATGTTTGGTAGATTAGTTGTGCTTCTCCTGAGTAAGTGATTGTAGGAGTCATTGAATGATTTGGCTTACTGAAATTTTGTCTTCTATAGCAAGCAGCGTTGGTGCTTAATGCGTCTCGTCGGTTCAGATACACATTGGATTTGAAAAAGGAAGAAGAGAAGAGAGAGCTGATAAGTAAGATTAGAGCTCATGCACAGGCCGTACGGGTATATAGCTCCTTAATTCATTGCTCTTTTATAAATATTTGATTAGAAGTATAGTTTTATGCCCTAATTTATCTTCCCATAATTGTTAGGCTGCATATCTGTTCACACAAGCTGGAAATCAAGCAAATGGTACTTATAGTTCCTAATTCATAATAATTAGCATGGATTGTTTAATAGAACAGTGTTTGTTTAATTTGTTTTCTTCTCTTTGTTTTTTTGAGGTGTATCACAATCAACTCTATTTATGTACCTCTGTTCTTTATGTCACAGAACGGTAGGATCTTTGTAATATTTTTTAACATGAAATGAGTTGAGTTTGTTTTACATATTGTCCAATAGAAATGTTGATTTATTCCTCATAAAAACCACCAAACCATATCTGTTGCTCTTTTTGGGTTGTGAATTGTATTGGTTTCATGTGTTCTGGCACTATCATCCATTATCAGTGTGTGGCCTATTGAGCTCTTTTAATTCTTGTCTGATAATTAGGAACTCAACCTTTACCACCAACACCCAATGGTGATTTTGACATTGGACCAGAGCAGCTGGCTTCCATGACAAGGGATCATAATTTTGTTGCTTTTCAACAATATGGAGGGGCAAGTCTACCAAAATGCTCTTGATTAAAGTTTCTAATTCTTTATTAATTTTTTGTGTCATTTTTGTAATTTTTTTCATTATGATTATGTCCCATTATTAGGTTAATGGGTTATCTGGTATGCTAAGGACAAATTTAGATAAGGGGATTAATGGAGACGAATCTGATTTGCTAAATCGGAGGAACGTATTTGGCTCAAACACTTATCCTCGGAAAAAAGGAAGGAGCTTCTGGGTAAATATCAATTAATGCTTCAATTTTAAAATTTTTTTATTTCCTTTCTCTCTGTAATATTCATTTTTCTAGTAAACCTTTATTAATATTTTTTAGTGTGTAAAATGTGCTGATTTTAACTTTTTTTGTTGTTTTACAGAGGTTTGTTTGGGAGGCTTGCCAAGACCTTACTCTGGTTATTTTGATGGTAGCTGCAGTGGCTTCCTTGGCCCTGGGTATAAAGACAGAGGTTAGCTTTGGCGGGGCACATTTACCTGGATACACTTCTACAAGTTATTTGTTCCAGATTGGCATTGTTCATGTTTTTATTTATTTATCTATTTTTTGTCTTCAATCAATGCTTGTCTTGTCTCGTATAACTTAATATTTGTGAATTTAGGTTTTATTAGGTGGTCAGAACTGAAATAAATGAGCTGCAAATTGCAGCAATTAGTTACACAACTTTGAATAACGTACCTCTATTTCCCATCAAGCAAGGAGATGAGTTAGATTTAAGTGAATGCCAATTATTTTGCTGGAAGGGTTGTCTTTTCTAGGTATTTTCATTTAAAATAAAAAATGGCTTCTATTTCTTCCTGTCTTGACTTAATTCTGAAATAGATGGATTTGAATCCTCCTTGAAAGGAATGTGGAACAGTATTGGATATAAGAGGGACTTCACAAAATAGTATCCATTGGTTTTCAAGAGAGCTTAAATTGAATTTGTGATGCGCGACAGGTTAGAGGGTATGGTGGGCTTGGGGATTTAGAGGCTGTTTAGGCAAATATATACATTCTGTGAATAGTATGCGTGAACAGTAAATAGGGTCTGTTTAGGATAGAAAAGAGGAATAAATAGAAAATAAACAATGAGAAGGATAGAAAAGACTGGAGTCACACCTAGGTTTCTTTAGACATCACACCTAAAGAGAATAAAACCCTTAAGCAGCACACCTAAGGCTAGTTGCATCACACAACCTAGATTGCATCACACAATCAAGAGCAAAACTTGCTGGAAAATTCTGAATATTATTAACTGTCTAATGAAAGAAACTACATGCATATTTATATAGAAACTACTAAGACTCCTACTAGAACTCCTATTCTAGTTAGTCTATAACTTGAAATTTAAAATTTCTAATTTAACTAGGACTTAAGACTCTTGATAAAAGATCTAATCCTATTAAAAGTAGGAAAACAAATGATAACTACACTTGAATAAAAATAATTACTTAAGAATTCTAAATAATCTAAATAACTATTGAATAGCTTCTTCTTGTTCCTCATCATTCTCCCCTTGTTTGAGAAAACTCGACCTTGAGTTTTGAAGTGCTGAAGTAGCGATCTTGTGGCTGCAAGGTAGTTCAGTGGTAGTAACTCTAGCTCTTCTCTTGTCTAAAATATTGAGAGATTTCCTTTTACCTTCAACAGTACATATAGGTTGTGATGAACTCTTTTCTTCATAGCTCTTAATCTGAAGTGAGCTCATAGGCTGCAGCACAATGGTTTTGTTTCCAGCAGAAAATGAATTGGTATTTGACTCACATTTTTGTCATAGAGCCAAGGTCTTCCAAGAAGAATGTGTGTGACTTTCATAGGAATAACATCACATAGTATTGAGTCACTATAGGCACCATAGCTAAAAGAAACAAGGCATTGTTGAGTTACTGGTATTGTTGCATCATTTAACCAAGCTACTTTATATGGTTGAGGATGTAATTTTGTGGAAAGTTGGAGTTGTTCCACTGTGGATTCTGATATAACATTTATTCAACTTCCACTGTCTATGATAAGTTTTTTAGCTTGATCTCCACAACAAACTAAGGTTTGGAATAGTGAATTTCGTCTCCATTCTTTTTCCTATACCTTAGGGGCTGTTAAAACGCACCTAACAAAAGATAAATGGAAATTATCTTCATCATCTTCAAGATCATCAGCCATATAAACTCCAAAATCATAGGAATTTTCTTTAGTATCTTCAACTTGCTGTTTTTCATCATCTTGTGCGTTTCCCATATGCAGATTGTTTCTTCTTTGACATTGATAGGCCATATGTCCATCTTGCCCACACTTGAAGCAAGTTACACTTTCATTACCATTTTTGTTGGATGTGAAACCCTTTTCTCTTTCTTTCTGGGAAGTATTATTTGGCCCATTGTAGTTGTTTGAAACCTGTAAAGCCTCTGTTGCTACTACCTCCCCTATTTGGAGCTGATTTTTCTTACTATTCTGGTTGTTTATATATTCTTTTGCATTAAGTGCTGCTTGGAATACATCTTCAACACCGTAAATAGGCTGTCTAAGTAATTCGTTTTTGATATCAGCTCTTAGACCAGGCAGTTTGTGAGGCATCTTCCACAACTTGACTGTGGATCTTTAGCTCATCAAAATTCTGCATATACTCAGCCACTGTCATACTTCCTTAGCTCAAAAGTATAAACCTTATCACGCATCTTGTCTAGATGATTTTGTGGCAGGTAGTTTTCTCTCAACTTTGCTTTCATCTCTTGCCAATTAGCAATAGGTGGTTGTCCTAATCGGGCTAAATCACTTTCAACACCCTACCACCATATTTTGGCTAATCCCACAAGTTTCATCTCAGCAAACCTAACTCTTCGAAGATCTCCCATGTCATACCAGTTGAAATATTCCTCCATAGAATTGATCCAATCAGAAAACACAATAGGATTGACTTTCCCTCCAAAATCAGGGACTTCAATCTTGCTTTTCTTAGTAATATCACCAGCTGTATCTTGTATTCCCTTCTGTCCTCCCTCATCTCTTGCTGCTGCTGTTGTTGTTGGTTGAAGGGTTTGTGTGCAGGCCTTGTGTCTTGCTTGTGAGGGGTGGTTAACCTTGGACAGTATTTAGTTTCTGGGTCATCATCTCTTCTATCTTGGAATCTAGTTTCTTAGTCAGTGTCTCTTCTACTGAATCCATGCGTTCAACCCACTGCTTAAACGCAGATTTGATCTCTTCCCAATCTCTTTCTAAAACTGTAACTCTAGCATTCAACTTAGCATCTGTCACCATGATTGAGAAAAAAAACTCAACAGTAAAGTTGTAGGATCCTTTGCTCTGATACCAACTGATGCGGGACAGGTTAGAGGGTATGGTGGGCTTGGGGATTTAGAGGCTGTTTAGGCAAATATATACTGTGAATAGTATGCGTGAACAGTAAAATAGGGTCTGTTTAGGATAGAAAAGAGGAATAAACAGAAAATAAACAATGAGAAGGATAGAAAAGACTAGGACTCACACCTAGGTTTCTTTAGACATCGCACCTAAAGAGGATAAAACCCTTAAGCATCACACCTAAGGCTAGTTTCATCACACAACCAAGATTGCATCACACAATCAAGATCAAAACTTGCTGGAAAATTATGAATATTATTAACTGTCTAATGAAAGAAACTGCATGCATATTTATATAGAAACTACTAAGACTCCTACTAGGACTCCTATTCTAATTAGTCTATAACTTGAAATTTAAAATTTCTAATTTAACTAGGACTTAAGACTCTTGATAAAAGACCTAATCCTAAAAAAAGTAGGAAAAGTAATGATTACTACACTTGAATGAAAATAATTACTTAAGAATTCTAAATATTCTAAATAACTATTGAATAGCTTCTTCTTGTTCCTCATCAATTTGGCTCTGGTATTATTATTGCTAATTATTTCTGAGTGACA